TTAAGCACATTTACCAGATCTGCTTCAAAAGTATAGAATAATGCTACATGTCAAACTAACTCTTTCAGGGTGGTACTTACACGGTTTACCAAATCGAAGCTACAGATCGTGGAGAGTTTATTTGCATCGCTGATAACAATATTAAACCACCAGCATCATATACAGTACAGCTTGAAGTCAGATTTCCTCCTTACTTTATAGCTGTTGAGGACACCGTGGGTCAGGGACAAAATCAGATGTTTGATGCAAAGTTAGAGTGCTTAGTAGCCGGTAAGTTTTTAGAAGCTAATCTACTGTAACAATTTGTTTGACTAATGATGATGGTTGGGAAAATTATTTCATTCATTTTTCCTATATGTTATTTCCCTACTTGTTTGTATATAACATTTTGTTTTTGCTTTCTGTTATAATGATGCCTCTTTTTCAATATCAACACATGTGTCCGGAGGACATTCAGAAAATAAGATCTTTGTATTCATGCTTATTCAATTTAATGGACTTCTATGCGACTGTCTTACAAGCGAGAGTTTTAGCTAGTTATAAAACCAGGTTTAATCTACCATTTCCTACATAAGGAAGTGTCTATATCAAACCAGGAATATGAAAATTGTTTTCCATTCGTGTGATGTGTTTGAGCTTTTGATTTTGACATTTGATAACGGACTTTCCAATTCGAAATTTCCTTGGAGTTCAGTAGTTTTGTTATTTAACTTTATACTAACAAGCATAAATGTTTCAATTACATCTTTATATAGATAAATGGTGTTTAAGTTGCATCCCTGTCCACCATGAAATGTATGCTTAAACAAAGCTGAATTTCTATTCCTAAGAAAAAATAATTAAATAGGGTTATAAAGGTCATTGAAGGTAGACATGAGGATCAATGAATTAATTTAGTCTGCCCTAAATGGTAAATAAAATTAAGGTAAGTTGTTCAATTAATATAATTAGCATCAACATTAATCATTTTGTATTCTCGTATATGGATGCTACAATATGAGACAGGTGCTACCTGTAAAGTCTGTCTCATAAAAAGTAAAATAACAAAAATACCGAACTCCGTGGAAAATTCAAAACTGAAAGTCCCTAATCAAATGGCAAAATCAAAAGCTTAAACACATCAAGCGAATGGATAACAACTGTCATATTCCTGACTTGGTACAGGCATTTTCTTATGTAGCAAATGGTGGATTAAACCTGGTTTTATAGCTAGCTAAACCTCTCACTTATATTGACAACGATATGTGAACAAAACAAACAGGCATTGTGTTATAATCTCAATCACTATAAAAACTAACAAATATGTCAACAAAGAAACACAAAAAGGCATATAGACAAAGCACATTAGCAAAAATGAAAGACAAGAATACAAAGATTTACCATAGCACAATAACACAATGATGGGATGTATAAGTACCGAGCCACATCAAATGTATCACCAAAAAAAGACTAAATAGTAAAAGTAATATTCACAAAGACAAATAAAAGAATACTATAACACGTTATTAAGATGATAAACAACGTCAGTACCCTGAATCTATATTTCAAGACCATATAAGCACGCGTCATTGAGTAGTAAGAGCTGGTCGGCTCGGAGACCGGGATAAGGTAACTTTTCTTCCTGCGGGACTGTTACCTTGTGAACTAGCACGTTAAAATCCGGCTCAACGTGTCGGTCTAATACGAAGCAGGGTTAATACTCATATTACATTAACATGTTCTCGTCCTGAATATGCATATTCATTTGCCGCTGGACGTTAAACAGCCATCATCATCATCATCATCATCATCATCATCATCATCATCATCATCATCATCATCATCATCATCATCTAATAATTTCTTATAAAAAAACGATGAATGAGCATTAAAATGTTATTTTATTATGTTCTTAAGTTGCAGATTTTAAAAATTCAAATATTTAAAAACGTTAAACCCTTCGTTAGTCTTTAAATCTCATTAAATCTCGAGAAAAATCTGCCGTTAAACAATTGGGTAAAAAAAATCTCCTTGGAAGTAACTGGCAGAAAATAATTGTACGAATGGTAAGATAATGCATGAATTGCTCATCATTGTCCTTTGGTCTATAGTAAGCCACACGATGGGTGCCACATGTGGAGCAGGATCTGCTTACCCTTCCGGATCACCTGAGATCACCCCCAGTTTTTGGTGGGTTCGTGTTGCTTAGTCTTTAGTTTTCTATGTAGTGCCATCTGTACTATTATTTGTCTGTTTGTCCTTTGATTTTTGGCCATGGCGTTGTCAGTTTGTTTTCGATCTATGAGTTTGACTGTCCCTCTGGTATCTTTCGTCCCTCTTTTAAAAAGTTTTGTTTCAGCGGCAATTATACCAATCAATATTTTCAAATACCTTCCAAATTGAATGTCTTAGCTGAAAAAATGTCAGGCTGAAAAAATATATATTATTTTTTTTTAGATTTACAAGTATATATATTGACCTTTATTATGTCACCCGATCGACAATGTTGGGTGACATATTGCTTTTCCTCCGTTTCTTTTTTTTATTATTATTATAATTCTTCCATCTTTTTTGTCCGGGAGTTTTCTCAATGGAACCAATCTAAATGATTGTTCACTATAACAAGGAACTCCAACTTTCGAGTTGCAGTGCAACTTTGGAACTAAAAGATGGCTGCCGTTACCATGGAAACCGAAAAAAGTTGAAAAAATGAAATTTTAAGGTTTTAGTGAATTATTTTGATATGCTTAAACTTAAAATCATCAAATTTTAATACAATGTAGTTGTCCACTATATACAGGTTTTGGATGATTTTGACAATGATCGGAACTACTATGCTGCCATGGAAACTGCGGAAAAAATTTCAAAATTTTCAAAATGCTTCAAACTTGATTAAACTTTACAGTAATGATGAGCAACATTTGTAGATGCGGTATTTGACGTTGGAATTTCAAAAATGGCTGCCGTTTATAATGGAAACAATGCAAAAACGTCAAAATGCTCTAAAAATCCTTCTAAAAATCTTTAAATAGCATTTCCTTTCTTAATATGGTAGATCAAACCCAGTGAAACTTTAATGGTATGTCCCCTCTCATGTACCAATGGGGTACCTGTCATTAAAATTTTGGAATTGGTCACCGTTACCATGGAAACAGCAAAAATGTTCAAAATTTCAAAATGCTCCAAAGTTACTGAAACTTATTATGTATGTTGACTGGCAAGTGTAGATGAGACTTTTGACTTTGGAATTTCCAAAATTGCCGCAATTGCCATGGAAACAGCAAATATGTGTAAAATTTCAAAATGCTCCAAATGGTCTGAAAATTTAAAGAAAAATGTATAGTCATGCATATATGTGCATTCACTGTTTGAAATTTTTGAAATGGCTGCCGCTTAGCGGCAATGGGGGAAGGGTGACATCCGCTATTGTTTGCAATAGAGATTCTAGTTGATAATTGGTTTTTCTGATGTCATCGAGAATTTCAAGGATAATATGCCGTTATGATTAATAAATGTATATTTTATATTCTTAGCATATCCTAGAGCTAGTGTTATATGGTACAAAGAAACCGAAACAACACAAGAAAAAGTACAAATTCAGGAAAATGACAAATACACATTAGAACAACAAGATGATCAGAGATTGAAAGTTTATGGGACATTGTATACTCTTACAATAAACAATGTACAAGCAAATGATTATGGATATTATTATTGTACAGGGAGAAATGAATATGGAAAAGATCAAGCTAAATTTAAACTTTTTGGTATGTATACTATATGTATCTTAAGTTGCCGTGTTATCATTTATCTGCTTTAGGTCATTACCGAGGAATTATTGAGTTGTGTGCATCATAGATATGTATGATGCATATTCTTAAATATGTAAATAATGAAGAGGACGTTGGTATGTTAAGAAATTGATAGATGTCGATTGAGTTGTGCCATTGGCAATCATACCATATTCCTGAATTTAATAGTAAGCTTTTTCATGCCCCAATTTGACAAAATACCCTTAGGCTAAAGTATGACAAAACCATAAACGAAAAACAAATATGACAACCACTGAATTACAGACTCTTGACTTGGGACAGGCAGATAAAAATACGTGGCTGAATTAAGCATGATTTTAAGCGCTCAACACTTCCCTAACCATGGTCAGTTGCATAAGAGCACAAATATAGGAGCAAACGACATGAACTGTTAAAATCAGTTGGAAATTGCTCTTCTGTTTGTTTATGAGACTTGAGTAAGCTAAATGTTGTATAATGAATGGTTATGAGGTGTGTATGTCTGTCTGATAGTGTGATTTCATCTGACATTGACCTCATTTTAAACGCTTGTTGATCAGGGTGAGAATGTTTTTATTATGTTTTTCGGATACTTGAAGTATATGACAACTATATTCAGTGTATAGTATGATTGTAGGGTTTAGATTACTGTCTCCTAGAATCTATTTGACCATGACCTAAATGTTCAAGCTATCTTTGGAAAGTTGTTATTATTGCAACTACATCACATCTCTTTATTTTCATCATCTGCTGCAATGTAATATTTTTGCTTGAAATTGTAAACATCAAGTTGTCAATTATTACAACAAAATATGGACACAAAGGTTTCTTTAATGAGGACTTGTGATTTCTTTCATCCTTAAATACTGTCATTTTCTTTTTGGTGAAGTTTGTCTTAATGTATTGTTGTTGTCACCATTTTTCTACCTGTCAATATGTTATATGAACAAAGACTGTGTGAAACTTGATTTTTTATACAATATTTAATAGTCTTGTTTTTTGCTTTGAATGAGAAACTTAGAACTAGCTCTTACATGACAACAATTTGGAGCTATCTATCTATTATTAAAAATTGAGTTTGCCTTGTATAAAAGCACACATCTTGCACATTTTGTGTGTCACATTTTTCATAATCTTAAAAGCTCTTGAAAATTATTTAATAAAATAATTAACCAAAAAATGAAATATTTTGATACAGCTTTAAACTTATTGATCAATTTTACATTTTAGAAACTATGGAATGCCAAGGACAGGACTGTCCATCTGTATGAGCTGGGAAAACACCATCTAATTATCAAGTTTCCATGATTACATTTATGTTTGGACTCATCATAAGCTACAGTTTCAAACAGTGCTTTTAATTTTGTTGGAAATATACTTCACTTAACATTTCATGTAAAAAAAAAAAATAACAAGTGTGATACTTGAATAATTATCAAATATAAAAAAAGCAATGTACATAATAACTAGCAACTCATGTATATAATATTTCATTTGTGACATATATTATTTTTGCAGTTATCTCCCTTCATTAATGATCAATCCTTAAAGAATCAATACTATACTTGACAATTTTTCAATAAAACTAAGAATTTAACAATAAGATCTATAACATGACTCTTGTAAAATTTGACTCTTCTTGTCATACTTTATCTTTGGTGAATAGTTGTTTCGTTGGCAAATTATACCACATCTCCTTATTTTTATGTTTATAAACAATATACAAATAAGTACATATTTTCAATAATGTGAAGTAATGCCCATTTTAACTTACAATAACAGTTTCCATTGATACAGTTCAAATTGGAGTTGTTTTTATTGGCTTCCATGTTAAAATGTTAACTGGTAGATGTTTATTATTTGCACATAAGTACAAGCAAATCTACAGAAAGATCTTTCCTAGATCATAGCGATGAACTAAACAAGGCTTATACAAAAGAAACAACATTTTCCTAATCTATCAGTCAGTAAGACAAGTTGAATTTGGTGGATCTATGAAGAAGATTTTACACATTACACTCTAGTATGGCAGCAAAGGGAAATTATTCTACTATAAATACAATAAGGGAAATAACTCTACCATAATTATAATAAGGGAAATTGTCTATAATTGTACAGATACTGTCAGGATGTTTGTCTGCTGAAAATTTAAAAGAACATGTTTAATAAATGTCTTTTTTAATATGAATTACACATTAATCAAAATAATGGAAAACGCATATATAGATTTGTGTTCTTATTTCAGGAGATGCATGCTTTTGATTAAACTTTTGATGAAAAAGGATTTCTTTGTTTCAAGAAGTTTTTGAAAATCAATACATATTTTGTTCTGAAAAAAGGTAGAAGATATAACAGCAAATAAAGGCAAACCTTTTTATGCATTGCCTCACAGAAAGCTAAGGGCATAACAAAATATTAACAAAAAGTTTGTGATCCTTAACAAATTAGATAAAGCACCTCGTAATATGTCTTCAAAAATGTGTAATGTTCTGAATTTATTTCTTTGAAAAAGAAATTATATTTGTATTACATTTAATTGATTTTTTGAAATTATATATATTTTTTACACTTTCAAGTAAAATTTTGGACATTACAATGTTATATATGTACATATTTACTGGGAACATTTCATATCTATTATTATGTATTTGTAGTTATTGTGAATACACAAACTTCTGAAATATCTTTCGAATCTCTAAGGTCTACTTGTTCTATTAGTCTTACACATTTACATGTTTTTTTTTTTAAATTTCATGTATTTGTGTATATATATATATTTATAAATTTACTATACGCATGATATCAAGTTTTCCCAATTGAGATTTGGTTATAAGGGGGTTCCTTTATCCTGTATCTCTACAGGTTTTAATCAAATATTCCTTGACATAATTTGAAATATATTGTACCCAAGAAAATAATATTCAAAACAAAGACTAAATATCCCATATAACCAGTTGATAAAAAGTGTGCCCATCCTATATCCTGTTACTGGATAATTGTGTTTATTTTAAGCTACCCTTATTTAGTATGAGGTCCACTAGGAGGTCATTTTTGTATACAGTGTAGGTTTAATGTCATTGTACTATAAACAGTCGGCTCTCGTAATGACGAACGGCTTGGGACCAGAGAAATTAATTCAAATCAAGGAAATTTGAGATATAAAGAGTAAATATGTATACTTATTACTGTTTGGTCCAAACACTCTGTTCGAGTTATCCAGAATTTCGACTTAAATGTGTTCGTTATAAGGTGTTATACTATGCATTTAGACTCACCGGCCTTTAAAAGCCTACTGTTAGTAATTATAAGTTGTCTGTTCATTCGCCAGTTGTTCCTTTTATTGTCTTTAGCCGTTACGGAAACTACCTTTTGGTCAATTGAGGAACCAGAGTTAATTATATTTTCATTAGGATGCTTAGTTTAAAAATTATCAGATATTTTCTACTGAATCCTCTTTTCCAAACTGTATACTTTAATGCTTTTGTGATTTGATTAAAAATAATTGTTGATAATCTTAAACATTATGCAACATGATTAGAAATGGAAGAAAAACGACAAAAGATCTCTATGATTATGTGATCCCTAAAAAATATGATTGATGTTTAAAATAAACTTCAAACATGAACAGTCTGAAATAACGATACTGAACATTTAAATTACAAATGTATTAGGTTTATATATTTTTTCAGCTAAGTAGGATCTTTTGAACTTCGACTTTATTCTGAAATACTCATTTCCTGAGATTTAGATGTATCAGTTAAATTTCATCGAGACTTATTAAAAATTATAAATGATAAAATTGAGAATGGAAATTTGGACAACAACCCGACCAAAGAGCAGATAACAGTCGAAGGCCACCAATGGGTCTTCAAAGCAGATTGTTTCAATTTATATGCAATCGGTTAATATTATGAAATAACATTTGCATAATTTAAAATGTTTTGTTCTTCTCTTCAAATGAGATACTTTAATAAAAAAAACAATTGAGTGCAAAAGGGACGAAAAGGAACTAAATAAATATAAGCCAAAGTACAAGTAAAAGGGACATCATGTTTACCTACGTATGCTCTAGGAAAACTATTTGATGAACAAGAAGCTCTAATTAAAAAGTCCACGGCCAGAATAAATATCCACTTCGATAGGTAAAATAGACCATCGACTTATAACTTAGTTGGTGTGCACCTGCGTCCCCAAGCCGTCTCCTGTCAACACAAAACACTTTTACATTTCTATCCAAAGAAAACAACTCAAATGGCTTACTGCCCGACACACCAGCAAGATATCCCAAATTTTATTTTCAAATGAGGACTCCTGGAACTTTTCAACGCACTATCCATACCTAATGAAGCCCCATTAGATGAATAAGGGTCGCGAGTCAATTAACAACTCAAAGACTATTTCATACCTCAATGGGTGATGAACTTTTATCATTTACGATGAAGCAGATTATTCTTGTATTGTTCCTGCTTTCCTTCTTTTATTTAACACTTTAATCATCCTTCCAAAACCATAGTTATATGGAAGTAGTAAGCTGTCCCTCTGTTGTTAATTTAAGACAAGAGGTGTGATGCATGTAAACACGTAAAATTTAATGTCTCCAAAGTAAGATTGGGTTGGTTTGATTAAGATCTTCTTTGTATAACAAAGGCAAATATGCTGTACAATTAAAAAAATGATATCGAACTAAAATCTCATCAAATATATCAGGCTTATAATTTGCATCTAGTCTCATGTTTCGTCTACACAAGACTCATGAAGGGCAGGAATCATAATCGAGGGTATCCATGAACTAGCACTTGTGGGATTCACAGACACTTCTTTCGTTGAAATAAAGAAACTACTGAAACAGTAGAAAGAGAAAAAAATATCAAGAGCCATTGCTAGGAATCTGAAGTACATAGAATGACTGATACTATCTAGCCAGGAATGTTTCCAATAAATTTATTATGTAGTTTTACATTATTAACCTAACTGTACTTATGAAATAAATTTGTTTTAAAATGATTCATAAATGGTTTATTTACCTGGTTTGGGATTATCGGAAAACATAACACAATACTGACATTTTACAAATGTTAAGAATAGTTTGAGGATAATAAAAGGATCCAAATGTTTATAACGGCATAGGAACGTTCATGTATGTAAACAGAAATAGATCAACATTATAAAATCAATTACTTAATTATACTATATTATGCCCAGTCCCATAGCCAGGGTGTTTCTTAGGGGGCTATTCAGGATCATGACGATCTGACCTGAATAGTCAAAATTCAATCTGAATCTCAACTCGACAGAAATAAGTATAACAAAAATACTGAACTCCAAGGCATATTCAAAAAAGGGAAGTTCGTAAAAACTGACACTAGCAAACGCTATCAATCAACAAAACAACTGAAAAAAACCTGCCATATTCCTGATTTGGCACAGGCATATTCCGAAGAAAATGATGGATCAAACCTGGTTTTAAAGTGAGCTAAACCTTTAGTAGTATTGTTTTTTCATGTGTGTGTGTGATGTTGGTGGAGTTTTGTTTGAAACACCCGAATCATTCATCGGATTTCTCTTTTCATTAACATTTAAAAAAAATAAAAACAAATACAGTTGTCCATGACTTTATGACTACTGCGTATTATTTATAGATGCTGATGATATTAGCTCCGTTCTAAAGACAAAACGCGTTTCTGACGTACTAAAGTGTAAGACAGCTGTTATATTTGATATATTTTTTCAATGACTTGGTCAATGCTATAGCTGGTGGAGATTGCGTTTTCTGGGATTTAACCAATAGTCAGCACTTCTCAGCTGACATATGATTTAAATGGTCATTTTCGATAAATGTACAGTAAATAAAATGTTTGAATTATCCCAAACACTCACCGTTTTGTATCTCATGTTTTTTTAATTTCGGCGCCATTGATGAATATTATGTGCTAAATAGTAAACGAGCATGTTTTTTTGTTTTTACCTCTCGGCCTTAGACAAGTTCAAGGTCGCCTATAACAATATAATCTGGCTTAGAAAATGATTTCTTAACCTCCAGTTTTTTCCCATGTTGAAGAAATTAAAGTATCAGTATAAGCCTAGGAAACTATAAAAGCATAGCAATTTATTTTTGCATGATGATGACGCAAGACAAAATGAAACTTTTTAAGAAATGGTTTATGATTCCAAACGGTTTAGTTATCGTAGTATTTCAATGAAGCCTGACAAGAACGAATTTAACTAAATGTCCAAAGTCCATGTATAGATAGCTTAAGCTAGATTTGGCAAAACTTGTTTTGGGATGTTTGGTTTTCATTCCTCCTTGGTTATTGATTTGTCTGTCATATTGTCTTGCTTGAACGCCCCTGATGAGTATTATGTAGAAAAAACGCACGTATTATGAACCTGGTATTTTTACAAATTTTTTCACTTTTTGGACGGAGTTTAAAAGATTTAAAAAAGATAATGATGATACCTCCGCTTTATATGTTTAAGGATTTATGTGAATATTTTTAATAGCATAAGAGACATTAAACATGTTTTCCTGTTCCATAATCAAGGATATATTATCTTGTGTTAGCAAGTGGCAATCTTTCTTTTTTCATTTTCATGTCAATATGCCTAAAAGGTACAACTTTTGATATAACATTGTGATTGTGCTAATGTATACGTTGATAAAGCAAACATTAGTCCATTGAATATCACAGATGTTCTTGAGTTGATTTTCAAAGGCATTGTTTCTTCCACTCACTGAAAAATTTATATGATAACTACATCCAATATTGGCTCTAGCTTTCAAATAAAAAAGCTATGTGTAAATCTTTAAATATAAGAAAAATAAAACAATTGCGTTTGACAATGGATTTAACAATGTCATTTCATTTAAACTTGTTTGTCATTACCAGACATAACTCGTATAAATTTGAGGACTCTGTGTGGATTTATGTTGAAAATAAGGACTACAATAGCAGATTTTTTACTTTCATTTATCGTTAATGTTATTTCTACAAATGGGTCGATACCTGTGCTGGTGGACTAGTATAAGAGATATTTAGTAATGTATTTGATACCTTCAGTTATAACAGTACCATAATGTGAAGGTGGTATCAGAAAGAAAACCGGATGTATTAAAAAAACGACTTTACAAATATGTAAATAACAACAGATAAATGAGTGAAGATTAAATATATTACCATAAATTGCGATGTGGACTTTTAAAACATGGATATTCCTGTAAATAAAGATAAATACATTTAAAATCCAGATTGGAAGTTTTTTTTCACAAACTTAATTATTACTATACTTTACCAGATTCTTTGCTGCCATTGCATCATGCAAAAAATAAGTATTGTGCAACCTATTAATAAAATAAAACACAACAATTGTTAATATAATGTTAAGGAAAATGCTCCGAAAGGTTTAACTGAACAACAATTTCCGAATATTCCCTTAATGTGTATGCTTTTAATGATTTCCTAAAATAAATTTGGTAGAAGATTTATTTTATAACAGTTGCATCCATGACGATGGTTTAGTAAAGTTATATGAGCAAATTATGGTCTTATGATACAATTCTTGTGATAACTAAAATCAATGTATGGGAAAAAAGGGAATTTATTACTTGACTGATTGTCTATTTTGGATAATGTCATTATGTTGTAAAACTATCTTGACGTGGTAAAAAAACTTTTTTTTATTATTGTCTGACAAAAATAAGATCTTAAGATAAAAAAAAACATGTGAAATGTGTACATACTGATTGTCCAGTACTAAGAATTGACAGAATATAAAATGTTTACAGTAAAACAGGATTTTTTTTTTCAAGACAATAGATATAAGAAGATGTGGTATGAGTGCCAATGAGACAACTCTCCATCCTAGTCAAAATTTATAAAAATAAACCATAATAGGTCAAAGTACGGTCTTCAACACGGAGCCTTGGCTCGCACCGAACAGTAAGCTATAAAGGGCCCCAAAAATTACTAGTGTAAAACCATTCAAACGGGAAAACCAACGGTCTAATCTATATAAGAAACGAGAAACGAGAAACACTTACGAACCACATCAACAAACGACAACTACTGAACATCAGATTTCTGACTTAGAACAGGTGCAAACAAATGCAGCGGGTTTAAACGTTTTAATGGTACCAAACCTTCACCCTTTTTCTGAAACAATAGTGTAACATCACAACATAGAAAGACACACTATAAAATATCAACTGAAATAGCTTAACTCATTCAAAGGACATATTAACACCAACGAACATACACTGAACAAATAGATTTGACCTATGATACAATGTAAATACAAAATAAATAAACTAAGGGAAGAATAATAAAAGTAACATGTTATATCGGTATGAAATGTTAAACAATTTAAGAAAAACAATATGCTCGAACAAAAATATCAGCCATTTGCAATAACTTTAAACACAGGTAAATGAAAATAATTTTGTTGTTAGGTATACGTGTACAGTTTCAATAGAGAAAGGAAATATTTTTACAAAATAAATAATTTTGATGCTCATAGTACGAATTGAAAATTTATAGTAGTATTAAACATTTATCAAAGCTGGTATATAGACCAGATATAACCCTGAACAACATTAAATAAAAAAGCATTACAATTAGTATCAACAGGTCAAATAAACAAGAAAGTACGATTTGAGAGTACTCGCAGTTACTGACAGCTAGTTAAAAGCCAAAACAATTAATAATAAAAAATCATGCATCAGAGACTAAAATCAACTAAAACACATCCAAGGGATTTAGTATTTTCACGTCATGGACAGTCAAAGAAGACATGACTTGTGCAATGCCAAAAATAAATGTATCGACAGACAGTAGGATATTTATGAGTTTAACCTCTTTATAGATCAAAATGAACGTGGGTGTGTCTTTATACATCCCGTTTGAAAAGAATACAAATTTAGTTATGTTTTAATTTGCTGATGACAAACTCGATATTAGTGCCAATGTAAACTGTATTCAAAGATATAATTACAACATAGTATCTGTAGATATAGAAGACTGTAATTGGTTGAGACAACATACACATTGAACAATAAAATAGTACAAAATACACCACCTAAAACTGAAGTAAAACAACAAGAAACCCTTTACAAATTATCATTTTAGCTTGTAATCATGATATAATGATACATGTAATAAACAAGGAGGAGGTTTCAGGAGTTTTCAGACAATCCAATCTCTGAAAAATATTAAAACTATCAAAGTCAAGATTCCGATTGAAATTTAACAATTAATTCAAAGTCAGAATGTCATTACCCTCAAATTTCCCCTCTTAGAGAGTGGCTGTGACCCACATAATTTTCAGTATTTGGAAATTAACATATATTGTTATCTCCTCTTTGATTGAAGCTCTCTATGTAACATATATATATATATATATATGCAAACTGATTTACACTTTGATCTGAATAGAAAACCCACTAATTCATTCCCTCAATAACTTCTTTGTTATCTTCTGTATTTGAGCATTCCTAGCGATGTGTCTTAGATGTTATGGGGCAAAATATTTTACCCTGTATCATAGGAAAAAAACCAAGGAGTCTGAACATCTGACACGAATTCCTAAACCTCACCTAAGTACATCCTTAAGTTAATTAAAGTCAAGAAATTTTAAGTCTAAAAAAAATCTTCTCAGGACTAATGCTGAAAAATCAACATGTCTTCTATCAATTATATGATTTAAAAAGCACTGGTTCCTAGTAATTTGAAAAAAAAAAATTAACAGAACTGTTTTGTTTGAAATATGTACTACATTCATGTATATTTCTCTGACCTGGCATGAGCCCAGAATTGGTGGTTCTTTGCGTCAAGATAATCATAATATTAATTCTGTGTCAAAAGATGACATTTCAGGCATAGGAACACATTATTCATTATGCATTGGTTAATTGAACAAGTTATGAAACTCATGAAATGAATTATTTTGCCTCAACAGAAGGACGACATTTGTTTCTTCATTCTACTTCTGGGTAATACAATGAGACGTTA